TTTACTGTAAATATTTTCTCTAATAGTAGTGCACCCGGGTGAGCCGAGTTGATGCCTATTTTACGGTTTCAAAGCTTTTGCAGAAGCTCAACACTCTAATCCCCCACTAGATCTCATCGTCAGCTACATTTTCCGGCCCCACATCGATAGGTTCTGATAAGCGGTTCTCGAGATTTCGAGAAATTTAGGAGAAGCTTTTGGTACACTACTATTGGAGAGAAGACGGTATATTATTCCAGGTTAGGCTAGTAGATCAGACTGATCTATTTCCCTAATATTTCCCGGTGAGCCGAGTTGATGACGATTTTACAGTTTTCAAGTTTTCCCAGAGGTCCAACACTCTAATCCACCACTAGATCTCATCGTCAGCTACATTTTCCGAACCCACATCGATAGGTTCTGATAAGCGGTTCTCGAGATTTCGAGCAATTTAGGCGACGCTCACGGTGCACTACTATTAGAGAAAATACGGTACTAATGTTTTCTAATACGGTACAAGTCTCAACTTTTAAAGATCAAAGTAACGCGTAAACTTTTGCAAAGTTAACTTAATTATGATAGTTTTTGAAAGATGAAATCTTTTAGAAAACACTCCTAATCATCATTGATTTTAAATCTTATTATTAAACATGCACTTTTTTCCATTTTTTCCAAAATAACATCATTGAAAGAGCTATTGAATAATCTCAATAACGTTCATTTTTGGAGAAAAGCAACGTTTTCATTCTTAGACGCCATATTACTCATCAATAGCAATTTGTTAGCCCCTTTTCTTCTCTTTGGGTCTAACTATAAGATTGCAACAGAAAATGAGTCAAACTCCGATTTTAGCAAGTCATTTTTGGTCAAAGATTTATCAAATCTTTGTATTTGTACTAAATTTGAGAATTTATCACTAAAAACGAATCAAAAATACGAATGTTTTTCCCCCAAAACGCCCCCCTTTTTCTCGAAGATTTGTTTATTTTTGTTCATTCGAATGCCACAAAAAGCGCTCAAATTACGAATCGTTTCTCTAAACGAATATTCAAATTTGTGATAGATTTGATTTCAAGACAATCAATTGATATATTCCTGAATGATATAATCGATACTTTTTTTGATGTATAAAAAAACCTATACCTAATAGTTAATAGCCAATTTAGATCACTCGTTTTATTAAGTTGGCAAGAATTTCATAGATTTTTTTGTCTCTCATTTCTCTAACTATTTGAGCATCAGAGCATCTGATAAATGAGTTTTTTTTTACTTCACTTCTTTTCTATTAATCGTTGAAAAGCTCAAATGAAATCCTTTAACTTTCTAGCTTTATTTTTTTTGTTTTTTGAAGGCTCTTCAAGAGCTACTCGATGATCATTTTGTTCTTCGCCAAAAAAAGTTCCAGTCAGGGAGATTCATGAAAAGATAGTATTTATAGACAAGACTCAATAAGTCTAACAACGATATACATGTCGTAGCCGATTATGAATGAAATTTTTTGGCAAATCTTTCTAGTAGAGCAACCCTTTAATGTATGAGGACAATATTATATCATCTTGTAGCGAATTCAATTCTGCGTCGATTGGTACCAAATTTGTGAGTTTAGGTTAAAAATTGCCGGCGCTACAACGTTTCATTCAAAATCGGCGGGACCCATGTAGCCGATTATGAATGAGTGGGTCTAGGAGCGTCCAATCATCAAGTATTTGGGTCTAGGAGCGTCTAGGAGCGTCCAACCATCAAGTATTTGGGTCTAGGAGCCTCTAGGAGCGTTCAACCATCAAGTATTTGGGTCTAGGAGCGTCTAGGAGCGTCCAATCATCAAGTATTTGGGTCTAGGAGCGTCTAGGAGCGTCCAACCATCAAGTATTTAGTATCATTCAACGTAGAATCATTGATAATTATGTTAAATTTTTTAAATTAGCAAGATTTAATAAAAAGAAAAAAATTAGAGCAAAAAACTGTTTGTTCAAGAGAAAACTTTGAAGCTTCATAATTTTTTTCTTTTCATTCAATCTTTCTAATTTAAAAAATTAAACATAATTATCAATGATTCTGCGTTGAATGATACGAAATACTTGATGGTTGGACGCGTCTGGACCCACTCATTCATAATCGGCTACGACATACAAATCGTTTGAAGAAAAGTGACTTCTCTTTGGCAGATGAGCCGAGGTCCGGGTCGCCCTAACAATTTCGATGAAACAGCTCTTGTCAATCTTTTACAAATCGATAACAAACAATCAATTAGGAATCTGGGAGAACAACTTCAGAAGTCTTATCTAATATTTAAAAATCATCTCAATTCAATGGGTTATGCCTCAAAATTTGGGACTTGGGTTCGCTAAAGTGATGTAATAAAGTGACAGTGTTTCAATCACATCTTTCAAGATACAGTCGGTATTCTTTTATTCCACATATTCTTACTAGTGATGAAAAGTGGGTATTATATTATATCTCAACGATTGAAGACAGCAATGGACCCGGGGAAAAAGTAAAAACCTGACCCGAAGCCAGAACTCCAAAAGAACATAATGTTATGCATTTGGTGGGACATTGAAGGTGTTGTTTATTGGGAATTGTTGTCTGAAAGTATGACTGTTACCCTGTACACTCGAATGCCACAAAAAGGCTCAAATTACGAATCGTTTCTCTAAACGAATATTCAAATTTCTGATAGATTTGATTTCAAGACAATCAATTGATATATTCCTGAATGATATAATGATACTAAACAGTTAGATAAAGTGGCCAATGAAGTTACAAAAAACGGTCAAATAAGGGAAAAGTTCTGCATGACGACGCTACGCTGTTGACAATCTCACAAAAGAAAAATTGAAGGAGTAGGGTCCCTCATCCCCTTACAGTCCAGAACTTGCCATGATTTGATGATGATTTTCATCTTTTCCTGAAGCTAACTGCAGAACTCGTGAATGAGCACTTGGGGGACTGATCTGAGGTCGAAAACTGGTTTTTTGCTCGCCAGCCAAAGAATTTTTTGGGGAGAAAGGAATCCGCGCTTTGCCCAATCAATGGCACTTCTTAAAAATGACGATTACCGTATTCTCTCTATTAGTATTGCACTCTCTAATAGTATTGCGGTCCGAGAGGGGGTTGAAAAAATAGTAGTGCACCCTGGAAAAGTTGGATTTATAGCGCTTCTTTTTGATCTAAACCTTTTTGACTGAATATCTTTATGTTTATGTGACATTCTAAAGCTATTCAAGCAAGCAAAAGTGAGGCTTTCTTTATTCATTTGTTAACTATTCTTCACCTGAAAAAGTTAGCAAAAAAACTGAAATTGTTGTGCAAAGTGCCTAAGCATCTTTTTTTTGTTTCCACACGTCGTTTTAGTGGCACATTAACTCAAATTTGCTTACGAAGTTCGCGCAAAGCTATAATTATTTTTTGCTCTTATATACCTGTATAAAGTTTGAGATTGACTTACCTTTTGCGGCGCTTAACTTTATTGTTATCAAAGCTCAATCCTAGAAAATAATCCATCATGTTCGATTTTAATATTATATAATTTTTGTTGATCACCTTTACTATTGTCTAAATAATCTTTTTCTTTAGGTATGGATCTCGATGGGAACTCGCTTGATGGATTCGAAAACTTTCGAGCTCGTGGTGAACACGAGGAACATGTGGAAAGCTTCAAGAGGATCGACAATCAAGTGACCGAACAAAATGCTGGCTACAACATGACCAAGGATGTTGCCGAGGAGTCTTCGTGTGAAGCGGATGCACCATCGGCGAGAAAGCGATGTTTCGACATTCAAACAAAGCTGAAAGCGATTGCTCTTGCGGAAAAAATAAAGGATAAGTCGGCTGCAGCGCGAAAATTTGGAGTCAGTCGTCAAAACATCCAGATTTGCAAATTGATCCGATTCTTGTGCCCGGAGGATGCACCAAGTACATACAAGCTCCCGATGTCATGTGGAATGCACCATTTAAGGCTAGGATTCGAGCACAATACGAGGGATGGATGATGAATGGACCAAAACCTTTGACCCGGAATGGAAACCCGACTCCTCCACCGATGGAAACTTATCTTGAATGGGTTTGGAATGCTTGGAACGAGCTTCCAAAAAACCTCATCATAAGCTCGTTCAAGGGTTGTGCAATTACCACAGCTACTGATGGCTCTGAAGATGGTATCATTCATTGCTTCAAAAAAGAAGGACCGATTCCTGAAGGCGCAACACTTCTCGCCAATGCTCGTCTCGAACAATCGATCAACGGAGTAAAGGATCAACTCAAAAATATTGAACTGGATGAGGATGATGATTCAAATGATGATTCTGTTGTAGATCTTTTTGTCTAGTTAACTTTTTGTTATCAGAAGTCAATAAATTTTTAGAAAGTCGCTTTTTTTGAAAGAATTTTTGGAACAAATCTTATATCTGTCTTACTTTGGTAATTGATAAAACTCTTTAATAGTATTGCACTCTCTAATAGTATTGCGGTCCAGGAGGGGGTTGAAAAAATAGTAGTGCGCACTACTATTAGAGAGAATACGGTATCTTGAATTTTAACACAACTTTTTAACAAATCACCATGCAAACTTTTTCTAACTTCTTGCCAATCTAATATATTCCAAAATGTGATTTTTTTCTCAAATGATAGAAACATATCTTTTCTAAATTAAATAAACTTAGTCTAAAAAGGTAAGTCAGAATTCCTTTCTAGTTCCTATTTGGTTACTTTATCATGCCTATTTGGTTCCTTTATAGTTCCTATTTAGTTCCTATTTGGCTTAGCCTAAAAAAAAATCACTTTCAAAACAACAAAAATCTTTACGTCTACTATTTCAAATATTTTCTCTTTCGTAAGAAAAAAAACATTGCAGAGTAGGATAGTTTACATTTTTCTTTCTTTCTTTTCCATCTTTTTTTTTCAGTTCTAGTGCCAGCTTGTCGTTTTTCCAAAGATCTCATGTGATTTTAATGAAATCTATTTACTCTCCTAAAAAGAAATATTTTCAGAGAACCGAAAATTTCCTCATAATGTAAATTGTGATGGCGATGATTGTGCAATTTTTCTCCTTTTTTCTGCTATTGACTCAAATCGATGCTGTGATAAAATATCGACGAAAAGACAACTTGGGAAAAGTCAAGCTGTTAAGGGTGAGTTTATTGGGAAAGAATTTGCTAAAGAAAAAGAATATTCGGCCCTTTTCGTGTTATGTGTATGAATTCATGTATTTTAATCTTAAATCTAGAGCACTCGCAGAGCACTAGAGCAATCTAGAGCAATCTAGAGCACCAGAGCAATCTAGAGCACTCGCAGAGCACTAGAGCAATCTAGAGCAATCTAGAGCAATCTAGAGCACTCGCAGAGCACTAGAGCAATCTAGAGCTATCTAGAGCACTTTATCCCAGGTCCTGAATAAAATATCTATATATTCCTCTTTTTTAAAAATCTCCTTAGGAAATCAAAATGACGAACTCGACACAAAATGGGGAATCGAGTGGGAAAGTGGAAAGCTATATGGGAGTGAGTCTGTTGATGGTTGGCGACTACTCTTTCTACAAGGTACAACAAATTACATTCGCTTAACCTATAAGAAATGTATTCATATTTTCAACAATTTCTGCTCAGAACTTTTTCGAGATCGCCGGCGATGAAGAGGGCGGATTGCGGTACTCGAAAGAGTACTTGACAGCTATTTATGAACAGGTGAATAGATAAAGTAAATGACAGAGTTCCAATCGGCTTTGTAATCTATGCCAGGCTTGTGGAAAAGCTAAGCCAAGATCAGACCTAGATCTGCTTGCAGACCGGTAAAGCAGTAAAGCCAGACCAGGTAAAACTAGGATACGACTTTGACTTGGCTTGACCCAGAAAAAACAGTTCTGGTAGGGATTAGGACTCTAACTTAGGATAAACGTTTCTAAAAGCTCTTAAAGTTTCACAACTACAGGTCCGTGCAATCTACGACGAAATCCCATTTGATTTCGGGAAACTTCACCTCTCATTGGTGGACACATTTGTGGCCATTCGACCCATTGATTGTCCGCTTTTACAGGTGCAACTTACTAAGATTTAGAATTTTGTGGATCACCTAAAATTTGTTTTTTTCTTATATTTCTCATAGCAGGTTTTGGTTTGGCAGGATGTCGGATTTGTAGAAAAACTACAGCCAAATTTAGGTCAAAAATAGTTTCCAGAGATTCGAGCATAGACGAGCCTAGAGAAGCCTCTAACCTTTCCTTTTCCTTAGTTTTTTTGCTGCAATTGAATTCAAAAGGGAACACCTATCTATTGAGGACATGTGCCAGACGGCGAGCGATTACGCCGCAGGACAAAGAACACTTCGCCAGTCAAAATTCTTTTGTTCTGTATACGATTCCCAAATGAGATTTAAAGTTAAAAATTTGTGCCCCGGGGTTTTCAGGGACGTAGAATCCATTGGCGGAGTTTATTTAAACCCTTTTTCCCAAGAAAAGTCTCAAGAGAATCGAATTGGCTTTGGGTTTTACAGATGATAGCTTTTCCAAGAGTCTGTTTCTGTTTTCAGCCAGACGACATGTCTCCCAACGAGCTCGAACGAAATGTGACCCTCGAGGAGTTGTTCGAGTTGAAAAATGGATCCAGGTTTATCAGTTCTTACAATTTCAATTCTGCATTTTTTAGCACTGAGCCAAAATACAGCGGGCCTGATGCGTTGAGGCAATTGTTTAATTGGAAGAAACGATATGAGGATCTTTTACCGCCACACGATCACACAATGCTCGTTACAAAGTATGATTTCAAATGAAACTATCAATTTGTAATGATCAAGAGATTAGCAAGAAAACAAGCAAGAAAACAAACAAGTAACTGTTTTTTCAGGATGGACCTCCTCTCATTCTCCGGATCCGACTCGTCACAGGTATCAAAAGTGTTAAAGCTATACCTCGAGCATAACAATTTTCAGGGAATGGCTCCATTGGCCGCTCTCTGCAAGGGTGGAGAATCGTCATCGGTTGTGGAAGATGCTGGGGCGATGGCCACTGCCATTATTGCAGCTCATGAATTGGGGCACAAGTGCGTTTAAATCTAAAAGGAAAGCTAAAGGAAAAAAAATAGCCATTTTTCACTGAAACTTCAGTCTTGGCGCCGCACACGACAACTCAAATTCCACCGAATGCAATCAATCGTTAACCTATCTGATGGCTCCTTCAGGTTAGACTGTGTAGCAAAAGATACGCTTCAGAAACTATTGTACTCTTGGTGTTTTTTTGATAAAATAACTGAATGAAGTCAAGCAGAAGTGAAATAGAATTTAAAATCTAATTTTGGTAATCTAACAAGGAAATGGAAAACGAAAGGTATGAGATTTTGATGGAAAAATAATCTTTTCCATGAAAATCATGAAGAAAACAAAATCACTAGAATTAGCTTTGTTACTATACGCTTTTACGTTTGTTCTTACGTTTTTTTTTTCACTCTTAACGGATTTTAAGATGTCATTGGGCTTCTGAAAGGCTTTGTGAACGCGAAACGCAAAGCAAAGCCAGACGGCGAGCGATTACGCCGCAGGACAAAGAACACACACACAAAGAACGCAAAGCAAAGCAAGCAAGCAAGCGAGCAAGCAAGACGCAGAGCAAGCGAAAAAAGCTTGCTCAAAATTTATAAAAAACAAGGAAGAATCAGGATTGGAATTGAAGCTGAGAGAAAAAAACTCGTACTAGAGCGTCAACCGACCGCACTACCCACTAGACTATTGTACTCGTCTTTTCCCGCCGCAATAAAGACGTCTTAGCCTTCGAGTCAGAGTCATTTTCTAACTAGAGGCTCAAATTTTGAACGCGTTTATCTCGAGAATGCGGCGTTTTTTGGGCAAAAACTAAATACAGTATTGGATTCCCCGTTGCCGAATGGCTTTTTCTTGCCAGCAAAATCTCATACCTTCTGTTTGGACAATTCACTTGTAGACAAAATTTAGTCTCCACAAAAGTCGACGATGATCGCTTCTTCAACATTCGCCGCTTCAGCCCTTGCAGTTTAGAGAATATCCACACGTATCTCAAGTAAAGAATCCCGAAATCTCAAATCTCAAAGCCTAAATCTCTTTTCAGTAGCTCGAATGCTCATTGTGCTCGAAAGAAAGGCCGTTTGTCGATAAAATCGAAAAAAGTCTCCGCTCTGCCGATGGATTCATTCCCGGGCGAGCGCTTCTCGGCCACTCAACAATGCCAAGCCGCTTTCGGGAAAGGATATGGTTTGTGCCCGGTAAAGTTTCAGAGTGATTTTTGCACTGCTTTAGAAGTTTTGTGTCTGCAAAAAAACTCCATTAAATCGCAAATTTCAGAAATTGGAATACGTCAATCTCGGCGGTGATCCATGTAGACGAATTTGGTGTAAAAATCGTCGCACGAGAAGGAGTGGGCCGTGTGAAACGTTGCCATTTTTTCCAGCGTTTGATGGAACGACTTGTGGAATGAATCGGGTAAATTCTAAAGTTATTTCATTGAATTCGATAAAAAATGACATTAATATTAGGTTGGTGAATTGAAAACTGCGGGACTTTGAACTAAAATTTATTCAACATAAAACCATAAATTCATTCGAAATAATTTCCATTATTATTGACAACTTCTGCCCATTTTACAGGCAATTTGCGGATTCCTCTTTAGGAATTTTGATAGGATTTTGGTTTGTGTGTGAGACAAGTGTGAGACAAGTGTGAGACTCAAAAATGAAGGACTGGAGATGTCTCAGTTTGAGCACTTTCTTCAAAAGAAACCCATTTTGGTGTCAATGGAAAAGTTGTAGAAAATCAAAAATCAAGCTTATATCCAAATTTCCAAAAAGATACACTTAGTAGTTTCGCTTAAAATGTTTTGTGAAATGCAAGTTTTGTGAAAATTCGTAGATTTGGCATTTCTTGAAAACCAGTTTTTGAATCGTTCTGAAAATTTGGATATAAGCTTGATTTTTATTCTCTACAACTTTTCCATTGACACCAAAATGGGTTTCTTTTGACGAAAGTGCTCAAACTGTCACTTATGACAATAGCCGGCAGTTTTCAATTCACCAATCCAATAGATTGAGATCAGCCTTGTTTTGAGGATTCGAAGCCGGCCAGATTAGTTTGGGAAAGCAAGAGGGAAGGGGGCTATTTAAACGCCCTGCGCCAGACGGCGAGCGATTATGCGGCCGCACAAAGAACAAACGGAACATAAATTTTCGCGAAACTACTAAATGTATCTTTTTGGAAATTTGGCTATAAGTCTAATTTTTGATTCTCTGCAACTTTTCCATTGACACCAAAATGGGTTTCTTTTGAAGAAAGTGCTCAAACTGTCACATATGACAATAACCGGCTAAACAATAGTTTTCAATTCACCAACCCAATAATTTTGATCAACTTTAACAACTCGACCTTCTGCATGAGTCTCCACATGACAACAATTCATAGAATTCGATTATTTCTATTAGAGCATAGATAACTAAATTATCGGCTTTAAAATGTAAGTATAAATTGAAAAATCAATCTTTCAAAACAAAAGCATTTGCAGTGGTGCATGAAAGGCTCGTGCGTTCCAAACGAGAAGCGTTTACTTGGTCAGTTTTATTTCACCATATCTTTTTAAATCTTCTAAATCGACAAAAAAAACCCTCATTACAGAATGCCAAGATCTCAACGATGATGTGTGTCGAAAGTATACAAAAGCAAAGCTAAAACACTACTGTAAATCGATGAACTTTCAAGCGGTTTGTTGCTCGACGTGCACGAGAGCCATGTCAAAAGAGTTACAGTTGGAGAAAAAGTTGTAGCTTTTTTTTTTTGTTTGTTTGCATCTAATATTGGTTTCTCTTTGATGTAAATAAAAGCTTATAAACTGTTCTGTTCACTTTGTTTCTAGCTGACTGACTCTTCCAAGTAGGTAGTCTGACTTTGACTGAAATTTTCTCTATGTTTTTGCACTAGTGTGTACTAAGTAAGTTGTGGTTTTCCATAACCGAATTTCAGAAGGAACATTTTAAAACCAATCACAAGTTTATCTGACAATTAGAAGTCGAGATATGGGGGAAAAGGTCAAACCCCGTCTCTTCATCCTCCCCTAGACAAATCTCTAGGAGGGGGTTGTCTAGAAAGTTGTCTAGAATTTTCGTTCCTTCTCTAGAGTTCTAATTTTCATTATGTTTATTTCTAAGACTCATATTAACGAGTGGGATGAAGTCCACATGAGTCTTGATCTTCAAGATTCAACGGAATGGCGCAGGTGGAGCTAATGATGGTCACGAATCGGATCCCGGTTCGGGACAATCTGACTTCTATACAGGTATCATTTTTTTTTTTAATTTAAATTGAATTATTTTATAATCTTTCTAATTAAATGTTCTTATAAACAGCTTATAAACTGTTCAATTTGTTTCTAGCAAAAATCTAGAATAAGTTTGATCACAAAATGAACATTCAATCATTGACAAGCATAGCCGGTTTCTTCAAATCGCTTTTATTGCTTTTATCGCAACCGGATTTCCTCAGAAAAATCACAGATTTTTGCGGGTCATTTATTTGATGATCGAGAAAAGCCTGTAGGAAAATGAGAGAGAGAAATGAGAGAAAAGAATGATTCTTTTCTGCTTTTCTGCTTTTCTGCTTTGCCACCTTCACAAATTAGCTTTCTTTGCCTGAAAAGGGTTGAGGAAAAGAAAAGAAAAGAAATTGTCTGTGTGGAGGACAATCCTTTTTCATTCCCCTTCCATTTTCATTCACTCACTCACTCCTTTTTCCACTTGTCCGTCATGCTAAGGCTTCCCGTTTTTGCTCTTCTCGCCGCTACTGCTTTAGCACGTAAGTTTTGAAATTGTAATGAATAATTTAGCTCTTTAACTAGTCTTTGATTGAAATTTAATTCAAAATTTATCTCTCAAAGTTTCTGTTTCAAATCGAGTACGCTTTTCAGAGTACCAACAAAGCTACCAACCCCAGGCGCCCATTCAACAGCCTTATTTCCCGCAACAAGCACAACAACAATTCCAACCACAACCCATTCCACAACAAGCCCCACAAGGATATCAAGAGTCTGCTCCACAGCAAGGACCTCAAGGATTCCCTCAAGCACAAGGCCAGCAACAACAGGTAGCACGAGAATTTGACTGCATTCGCTTGTTCTTGATTCGCTTGATCGCTTGATCGCTTGATCGCTTGATCGATCGATCAATTTTTTCTTTGTTTGCCTTTCTAATTAGATTGAAAATTCAATTATTCAACTTTTCTAGGGTCCTCTCATTGGCTACTTGTTGACTCCAGTCGCGGCTCCACCTGAGTTCGTCAACAATCCGGCTGACATCCCACCAATGAGCGAGGGACAATTCACGAGAATGGGAGGGAAAGATGTAGGATTTGTTTGTAGAAAAAAGATTTCTACAAAAAGATTCGCTAGTAAAAAAAAACAAGAGATTTTCAGGAGCACCCACTCTACGTGATCCAAAACCCGGACACCACCGGCTCGGCTTCAGTGCTTCCACCCGGCTACTCTGGACAACCAGCTGAGTCCGGGCAAAAGCCAAATGGGTGAGACTTAAGTTGAAATTCTTTAGATTCAATGCCCAACTTCTTCAAAACTCATTGAGCTTTCCTTCGATCTTCGATTCTTAGCTTTCTCTTTTCCTGTTTTTTTTCAATGAACGCATAAGTTCTAGAAACATTACGAGAAGTTTCTTCTCTTTTTTTGACTCAATCTCGATACGATCTTTCTCTTCTTTTCATTCATTTCTATTTCGATTTCAGTTTCTTCATGCCTGTTGGAAATGAAATTCTTTAGATTTAATGCCCAACTTCTTCTAAACTCATTGAGCTTTTCTCCGATCTTCGATTCTTAGCTTGATCTTTTCCTGTTTTTTTTCAATGAACGCATAAGTTCTAGAAACATTACGAGAAGTTTCTTCTCTTTTTTTGACTCAATCTTATCTCAATCTCGATACGATCTTTCTCTTCTTTTCATTCATTTCCATTTCGATTTCAGTTTCTTCATGCCTGTTGGAAATGCTCCACTCATCGATGGACGTCCATTCACTCTAATGGTTGTCAACGGTTTGTTGAATGCATTTATCGTATTTGCATTAGAGAACTTGTTGTTTGTCAAAAGAAAAAGACAAATAGAACCGTATTGGAACCGTATTGGAACCGTATTGGAACCGTATTGGAACCGGATTGGAACCGGATCGGAACCGGATCGGAACCGTATTGGAACCGAAAAAATACAAATGCTTGAATATAATCTTTATAGGCATGAGAACGCATGGACCCGCCTACAATGCTCTTCCCGTTCAACCCGATGTTTCCGTTAAATCCGAAGTGGTCGGATATCAAGCCCCAGCCGCGCCAAATGCTGGTGGATATGCGCAAAGGCATTAAGATCTTATTTGACTGATTTTTGTAAATAATGAAATGCTAATAAAGATTTTACAACTAAAAAATGTTCAATTGGTCACGTAAAAACTGAATAAAGTGGTGTCCGATACTAACAAAAGAACTTAGAACTTAAAAGCTTAAAGCTTTTAAACTTTTAAACTCTTAAAGACACGATTTTCGCGATCGTGCTCAAGATCTAAACGAATTTTTCTAAAAATCTTAATCTGAAAATAAACATACAAATAAATAGACGCATTTTTATGAATTTTGCTGATCTGATGAAGTGAATGAAGTTGAAATCTATTAGAGTCTATTAGAGTTGAAATGAAATATCTAGGCAATCTTTTTTGACTCCTGCATTTCATTTTCTCTTTCAATTTCTAATCGAATAATTTATTATGGTTTTTGTAATAAGTTAAATTGCACAACATCACAGAATCCCCTATAGGACGGACAAACGGACGGACGGACAAACGGACGGACGGACAAACGGACGGACGGACAAACGGACGGACGGACAAACGGACGGACGGACAAACGGACGGACGGACAAACGGACGGACGGACAAACGGACGGACGGACAAACGGACGGACGGACAAACGGACGGACGGACAAACGGACGGACGGACAAACGGACGGACGGACAAACGGACGGACGGACAAACGGACGGACGGACAAACGGACGGACGGACAAACGGACGGACGGACAAACGGACGGACGGACAAACGGACGGACGGACAAACGGACGGACGGACAAACGGACGGACGGACAAACGGACGGACGGACAAACGGACGGACGGACAAACGGACGGACGTCTTAGTCCCTTTATATGTAGTAGATTTTAGAGTCACCTCATATACGAGAGCCGCTTTACAAGCTGGGAAATGTGTGGCCTATGTGTTGGCACAGGTTTTAAACTTGACTTAGTTCCGATAAATTAATAACTTTATGGAAAAAGTTTAGATTCTAATTGGCACTGATGCAGCTAGTTATCGAGCTCTGAACGTAATCTCTTTGGTTTCTTTATGGATTGATTACTGTAATGAGACAATGGATTGCTGCTTTATAGTCTGCTTTTCATGCTTTCCCCATTCTATTTGTGGTATTTGCCGTTTTTGCCTTATTTGATTGATGGAGAGAAGCGAAGGGTTTGCGTTTTGTTGTGATCAAATAATTTATTATGGTTTTTGTAATAAGTTAAATTGCACAACATCACAGAATCCTCTATAGAAATGGAAAGAAAATAAACACAAAAATTCCTTGAGCAATTCATCGGAGGAGAGACAATGTCCAGGGTTTTAAAAATAAATTCAAAGTTTTTTTTTAGCTTTAAATTTTGTCAAGATACACCAGATTTGAGTGGCGATAAGGGAATCGAAAAATAATTTCAATTTAATAATTTCAAATTTTTCTAGAAGAAAGAATAAATTATAAATGCAATTTAGAATCTTTTAAGCATATCTTCGGAATCGGAACATGTAACCGAGTTTTGCAGCTTGATGAGCCAATTGGGGATCGACCTGGAAAAAAAAAGAGATTAATGAAGATAATAGGATTTAAATTTAAACGGAAACATTGAATGTCTTTTAAGTTATTTAATAAAGTCTTATTGTTGTTGTCAATTGGGGATCGACCTGGAAAAAAAAAGAGATTAATGAAGATAATAGGATTTAAATTTAAACGGAAACATTGAATATCTTTTTAATTATTTAATAAAATCTCATTGTCATTGTCAATTGGGGATCGACCTGGAAAAAAAAAGAGATTAATGAAGATAATAGGATTTAAATTTAAACGGAAACACTGAATATCTTTTAAGTTCAACCAGACGACCATTTCCGATCACTTGAAACGGATTGGAGAGTCAAAAAAAGCTCGATAAATGCCCGGACTTCTATACTACCGGCATAAATAAACTTGTTTCTCGTTGGCAAAAATGTGTTAATTGTAATGGTTCTTATTTCGATTAATAAAGTTTTTGTTTTGATCAAGTTATGGGATTTGAAATAGTCGAGTTGAAAACGCTGATTTATTTCCGGACAACCTAATAGTTAATTTGGATTTAATCAAAGATTCCTTATTTTTCGTAAAACAATAGATCTTTTCTTAGTGGAATTCTAGCTTTTACTTCTATAAGTTCAAAATCGATACTACTTTACCAGTTTCCCACAACTTTTATTTAAGACTTTGTTTACCTTAAGCGGTTTGGGATACTCAATAGGATGCATATCGTTTCGATCGTATCCTGAACTGGCGAGCGCTCCCGATGGTCGATCAGCCACATAAGATTGAGTAGTAGTCGGACTCTCAGTAACCATTGCCGCATACGGGTCATCGACGTGATCGATTGGAGTCTGAAACTTGTAACTCTAACTCTAAACATTTTCAATATTTACCGGTGCCGATTTCTCTGCATTCTCTCCTGCACCAACTGCATTTACAGCGGCTGAAGCTTGGGTGGTCGGCGCTTCCGTTACGACTTTGGCGTACGAGTCTTCTGCAGTTGCAGCGGCGGTTGTTGGGGCTAAAATTTAATGATTAAATAGGCAAGCATGATTTAGAGGTATCGAGTTATTTTAAAGATAATCTGAACTCAAACTATGAGTACTGTAGTCGTACTGCTGTGTGCAAGTGGTACCTTGTGTGATTGGCGATTCAGTGACAATCTTTCCATATGAATCTTCGGTGCTTTCTGTGGCTGGAGGTGCTGAATTTCGATTTTAAAAAGCCATCTTTCTACAATGTTTATGATTTCGTTTTCCTAATCATTAGTTTTCACTTCAAATCATGCACCTTGATTGATCGAAGCTTCGGTGACTGTTTTAGCATAGAAATCATCGGTGACTAGTGCTGTTGGTTTAGTGCTAGCTGAAAGGGGATGCGTTTAGTGATGTGTTCCTTGTGAGTAAATAATTATAAAGTTTACATAAATAAACTTTTCATCAATTAAAGATCAAGTTTTTCCTCAATATCTCTTACTATTAGTTCGTTTTTCTTTATGCTTTCTTTCACTCTTTCATTCTTTTAAATTAACTTCTAATCCAAAAAAAAACAGCTGCGATTTAAACTCCGATTATTATTATGAATAAGATTTATCAAAATCATTATACTAATAAACAGTTTATCCTAAATATTTTCTTGAATAAACTTAATTTGAAAAATGATTTAACAGATAGATATTTCGAGCTATTAGTGAGAAAAAACTTGCAAAAAATGATGAATAAATTAAATTTTGCATATAAACAAATCTACATAACATATGATAGCGCAGGTTTTAGAAATCTTTAATCACGAGAAGCTCTAGAAAGCTCTAGAAACGTTGATGAAGGAAAGCTAACAAACTTGTTTAAAATAGATCATTTAATTGTTATATTACCGTCTTCTCTCTAATAGTAGTGCATCCTAAGCTTCTCCTAAATTCCTCGAAATCTCGAAAAGCGCTTATCAGAACCTATCGATGTGGGGTCGGAAAATGTAGCTGACGATGAGATCTAGTGGGGGATTTGAGTGTTGAGCTTCTGGGAAAACTTGGAAACCGTAAAATCGTCACCAACTCGGCTAGCCGGGGGTGCACTACTATTAGAGAAAATATATCATATTCTCACAGCACCTTCACCTTGATCAATCGACCCCTCGGTAACACTCTTTGCATATGAGTCTTCAGTATTTTGTAAAGGAGCTGGTCTTTGTCGAGCATTTGTGGTAACTTTGTGATTGGTGGAATCAGTGATCGGCGTGTGAGCTGGGTGAACAGGTGCTAGATAGGTTAATACATATACAGGGTTGTCCAGGATTACGAGTATCTTTCATATTGCACATTTTTACTTACAATTTATATATTGTTTTTGTCTTTCTTTTGATTTATTTTATTTATTTAGCTCTTTACTTACTATTTTTTCACAAAGCTCGCTATTAGTTCGCTTTTCTCTATGCTTCTTTTACTCTTTCTTTTCAATTTCAACTTTCATTTTTTACTCTTTTAGACAAAGCTCGTATCGTTCAAGAATGATTAAAGCATCTTTCCCCCCGATTTTATCGATTTTAACCAGTGACCACTATCAAGCCCGGACCTCAACCTACTTGATTATTCTGTATGGAGAGTATTGGAAGCAAAAGCAAGCTTTAAACTCCATCCACACAGTCGTTTCTTTGAAGAAAAGCTTTCAGAAAGCTCTTTTTGAAAAAAAAGTAAATTTTTGATGCTTTGGTGTCATTTTAATTCAAGGTGGTCTTTAAATCTTCAAGTTCTCTAGTTCCCGTAATCCTGGACAACCCTGTAGAAAGGATAGACTTTAGTGGGGAAAGTTTCAACTCAAACAAGTGAGTTCACTCGAGATCAGAGATTAGAAATTTAAATCCATACTTTGGCTAGGTGCAGCTTCGGTAACCACTTTAGCATAGGCGTCTTCAGTGACTGGTTGGGGTGGTGGGGTGGCTGAACGAAAAAATTTGGTCAAATTTGGTCAAACAAAGGCTAAAGAACATGGCTTTTGAGCAAAGAACAAATAATAAGCTATATTTTATTTCAAAATAATCCAAAAACTATAGTACTATCGTAATATTATTGTACTAATGAAGGTAAAAATCATTTAATTAAGTTTCTATTGCTCTGTAAAAGCTATTGCAATTTCCCTGTAAAAGCTATTGCAATTGCTCTGTAAAAACTATTGCAATTGCCCTGTAAAAGCTCCTGTCACACTGTAATCTGCCTAAATAAAGTTCTACAAGAAAAGTAAACTTTAAAAGATATTCAGCGATGATATAGTTTTCATACGTTAATTTCTTCTAATTTCTTTTCTACCTTGTGTGCTTGGTGCTTCAGTGACCATTTTTGCGTATGGATCTTCAGCGGCGTCCACTTTCGCGTACGGGTTTTCTGGTGCAGGTGCTGAATAAAGGAATTGAACCAAAAAAAGAAACTTGAACAGAAAAGTGATTGTGGAGTAACAAAGAGTGAGCTTGGCTTGAAATTTCAAGTTTTTATCATTACAGTTGTACGAATGTTCTTCAATAAAATGTAAAAACTATGGCTGTTCTGAAGATCTAACTTCTGTCTAGTACTGTATTTTGATTCTTAGTACTGTTCTTAGTACTGTTCTTAGTACTGTTCTTAATACTGTTCTTAGTACTGTCCTTAGCACTGTTCTCAATGCTGTTCTTAATACTCTTTGCAACACTACTTGTTCCAGAACTAACTTTGCAACTCTTTGACAAAGCTAAACAGCTTTTTAACTTAGCTTTGATTGTTTTCAATTCTAGCCCTTCAGTTTTTGACAGCTTTTGCAGCATTTTATAACCAAACTTGACTCAATACTAGAGCATCTATTTTACAGCTAGGCAACTCATCTTGAACTATTTTATAATATGAAATTCAACCGTAATCCTCTGGTTTGCTAATCACCTTTTGTAGCAGGTGCTTCCGTGACTGATTTTGCATAAGAATCTTCTGTGACCGGTGCTGGTGCTGGTGCTTCAGCTGTCACAATCTTTGCATAAACATCTTCAGTAGCTGGTGGCTGGGTGGCTAAAAGAGTGGTTGAACTCAAAATCTAAGATTGTAATAGACAGCCAACCACCTGGCTGCGGTGCCTCGGTGACAACTTTAGCGTACGGATCGTCAGTGTTGTCAGGTGCTGAAAAGACTTTTGAGTAAAGCACATGTAATTTGTGAGAAAAATTCGCATTCTGCATTTGTAGAGTCTATGCAGAGACAAACCTAGGCTAGCCGGAGTTTCGGTAACAACTTTAGCATACGAATCTTCGATAACGGGTGCCGGTGCTTTGGTGGCTAAAGAAGCAAGCTAGTTCAAAAGCAAACTTTTCCATTTCATATTTCTGTGCAATGTTTGAGATAAACAGCAAAAGGAGAGACTCGATTTGGGATTGATTTTCACTAAAACAAAATTCGATGTTAGTAATGTTTTTGATGAAATTTCATATAGAAATGATAAAAATGAATCGATTTATCGACCCCAAATCGATTTATCAATTTATCAATCATTAAAAGATTTATATAAATCAATTTAGAAGATTGTTCCAAGCGAAATTTGATACAAAATTAGATTACTATCATAGATTTTTGTTTTTAGTGAGAATCGATCGCAAATCGAGCCCAAATAGAGCCTCCTTTAAGATTTCATAGTTGTAATCGATGAGAATTGCAGCCGATTAAGCCACTAGCCAGTTTGAGATAAACAGCAAAAGGAGAGCCTCGATTTGGGATTGATTCACTGTGGGATTGGTTTTCACTAAAACAAAATTCGATGTTAGTAATGTTTTTGATGAAATTTCATATAGAAATGATAAAAATGAATCGATTTATCGATCTCAAATCGATTTATCAATTTATCAGTTATTAAAAGATTTATATAAATCAATTTAGAAGATTGTTTCAAGCAAAATTTGAGACAAAATTAGATTACTATCATAGATTTTTGTTTTTATTGAGAATCGATCGCAAATCGATCCCAAATAGAGCCTCCTTTAAGATTTCATAGTTGTAATCGATGAGAATTGCAGCCGATTAAGCCACTAGCCAGTTTTTTTGGCAATAAAAACATGTGTAGACAGACACTTTTAAGCTCTTGAAGCCGTAAAAACCTTGAACTGAAGCCTCAGTGACGACTTTAGCGTACGCGTCATCAGTATTGTCGGCGGGTGCTACATAGGGTGCTAAAAAAAGCTTTTGAGAAATCAAAGCTTTGTAATTGCTTGTGCAAGACAAACCTAAACTAGCTGAGGCCTCGGTAACAATCTTTGCATAAGAATCCTCAGAAACGGGTGACGGTGAGGGTTGTGCTGGTGCTTTTGTAGCTAAACATTGCAAGCTGATGTATAATTTCAGCTTTAAAGCTAAATCTAGTCTCAGAAAGCGTTAAGCTGTTGTTTTTTTTTTGTGTAAAAACATTCACTGCATAACTAACACGTTTTCTAAAGTGTTTCTAGAGTGTTTCAAAAAACTCGTGCAACACACAACTGGTTGAAGGTTTCAAGAGTTCAAAAAGGGGATAAGAGAGATAAAATGCAGATTACAGTAGTTGTTGAAAGTTAGAAAACTAGGAAGATTAGTGTTTATTAAACCTAGAAACTAGGAAAATGAGTTTTTATCAAACCTTGTGTCGGAGCTTCAGTAACGATTTTCGCGTACGAATCCTCAGTGATCGGAGCTGGAGGTTGAGGGGCTGAAATTTTAAATTTAAAAATGATTTAGATATCTAGATAATATAAATTAATGAAACCAAGCTCTAGCTATATTTTTTTTTTCTCGTTTAAGCGCCACACTGACAATTTGTGGAAACTTTTTTACCTTGTGTGGTCGAAGCTTCGGTAACCACTTTTGCGTACGAGTCTGCGGTGTTTTGTGTGGGTGGAACATATGGTGCTGAACGCAGAAATGATGTTTAGACTTACAATCAGTGATAGTTTTTGTGGCCAAAATGAACCTGCTGTGACTGGTGCCTTAGTAACTGCTTTAGCATTGGGATCCTCAGTGACAGGTGCTGGTGGAGGCGGTGGACGGTATGGCGCTGAACAAAAAAAAACCTGGTATTTTCATACTTTCAGCACGTTTTTTTTGGTAAATTTAAACCTTTTCTAACAATCGTATTTGAGGAATAAATTGAATTTTTGCATATAAACAAATCTACATAACATATGCAAGTCTTTTTGAAGTGCAGGTTTTAGAAATCTTTAATCACGAGAAGCTCTAGAAAGCTCTAGAAACGTTGATGAAGGAAAGCTAACAAACTTGTTTAAAATAGATCATTTAATTGTTATATTACCGTATTTTCTCTAATAGTAGTGTACCAAAAGCTTCGCCTAAATTGGTCGAAATCTCGAGAACCGCTTATCAGAACCTATCGATGTGGGGTCGGAAAATGTAGCTGACGATGGGATCTAGTGGGGGGTTTGAGTGTTGAGCTTCTGTGAAAACTTGGAAGCTGTAAAATCGTCACCAACTCGGCTCATCGGGAAATATTGGGGAAATAGATCAGTCTGATCTACTAGCCTAACCTGGAATAATATACCGTCTTCTCTCTAATAGTAATGTACCCAGAGCTTCGCCTAAATTCCTCGAAATCTCGAAAAGCGCTTATCAGAACCTATCGATGTGGGGTCGGAAAATGTAGCTGACGATGAGATCTTGTGGGGGATTTGAGTGTTAAGCTTTTGTGAAAAACTTGGAAATCGTAAAATAGCCAACAACTCGGGGCACACTACTATTAGAAAAAATAGGGTAGTTAGTTGGCTAGCTGGCTAGCTTTAAATAGTCCTTTTCTCTGTGCAAACCTCGACTAGGTGGAGCCACTGGTCCAACTCGATTTGCCGGCTTTTCGGTGATTGGTGCAGGTGGAATTGGAGCTTAAACTGAGTCTTAACTAGAGAAGATAAGCTTTCTTTAATATCATTTGCAATTTGAATATTAAAGAACTACGTCACTCTGGTTGCCAAATCAGTAAGGACAGTGTGCAGCACTTCAAAGCACAACAAACTGCTTGTTTTTAAAATCTTTTCAAGTCTGCTTCTCTTAATCATACTCTCTGAGACTTCAAACGTTTTGTTGTCTAACTTTAGCTCAAAAGTGGAGAACTAATCATGCAGCACTTCACAACATAACAATAGATAAACATCTAGAGATGTTGGATCAGATGTTGATCTAGAGATATTGGATCATCTAGAGATCCAACATCTAGGACTCCGGTCCTTTTATGAATTGAGGCTGGGAATACAAAGCATGGTCGGCGAACTCGCGGCCTCTCGCTTACCGGGCGAACGCTCTACCAATGAGCTACACCGACACGACACGCTCTACTAATGAGCTACCCATTGCCACCAATCGTAGGGTCTTATTCTAGTGCAAACCTTGACTAGCCGATGGAGGAACTGTTGCTGGTGGTTGGTAGGGTTTTTGAGTGATTGGTGCGGGTGGTGGAAGTGGTGCTAAAAGATCTTTCTCACATTCTTTAACATCAACATTTCCAACAACAGCCAGTCAATTATTCCAAAATTGATTAGGCAGTTCGTTTGCAAATTCAATTATCAGCTTAGTACAGTCACTCAAAATAAAGTGCATATCTCAAACGGGTAATCAGCAAAGAATGTATGCTAGCAGATCACTCAAACCTTGGCTAGCTGGGGCAGCAGTTGCAGCAGGCTTAAAAGGCTCTTTCTTGGTGATCGGTGCTGGTGTCTCAGTGGCTAAAAATGCACATGCACAACAAGAATTCATTCAGCCATCAAACATCAATCATCAAGAAACAACAAGTCAATTACCTTTCGACTTTTGAGTCTCAATTCTGGTAGATGGTTTCTGAGTGACTGGTGGTACACGACTGGCTGAAAGTGACATGCATTGCTTAGACTACAGTGACAAATGACATAGATAGCTGACGAAAGCTTGCATTACACAAAAATCATCTACTATATGGCTTTTTATATATCTCAAAGCCTCTCACTACACACTTTGAGTCGGTGCCTCGGTCATCACTTTCGCGTAAGAGTCTTCAGTAGTGATCGCTGGATGAGGAGCATGCGTAACTGAAAAAGAAAGCATAAACAACATGCTGTAACACATTCAGACTTGAAAAAGCTTTTAGTTAATAGTCAGTAGGCAAACTGACTAAAACAGTAGGCAAAATGACTAAAATAAAGAAAAAAGATCAAAGGCAAACAGGCAATAGATAAACTCAAAGATATTCAATTCTTCAGCGGTTTTTGTCGGCTGCTTTGTCAGTAAGCAAGTTTATAGCCAAATTCTAAGTCTAATTGTAGATTTTAGCTACACTACACACCTTGAGTAGCCGGGCTTTCCACTTTGGCATGCGTGACAAGTGCAGGTGGTACGGGTGCTCGGGTGGCTAAACAAACACTCAATTTGCTCACACCAGAAAAGAGTTTAGAAGTTTGGAAAACGATCTCTAGAATCTCTAGAATCTCTAGAATCTTTAGACCATTAGCTTGACTCTATCCGTAATCTACTTTGACTCGTTTAAAGACAAATAAGGTTGTTGACGGCTATGGTTTTAAACCAGGCTATGATTTTGAATCAAGTACAGTAGATAGTACCAGTTATTTATGAAAGACAAAGATTCTGAAAGTGAATGGTAAGAATCTTGTTGCAATTCGCCTGTTCTAGAGTTCGTCTTTGATAAATTCACACAACTCTGCGCTCACACACCTTGCGTAGCTGGAGCTTGAGCTTCCGTTTTAGCTTGCTGTGTCGCTGGAGCTTGAGTTTCCGTTTTAGCTTGCTGCGTAGCTGGAGCTTCTTTGTTTAAAACCGATGCATGGGTGGCTAAACACAAAGCATGCAAGCGATTCATGAAGTTGCAGCAAAAATTTCAATCAGAATTTCCACCACAAAACACACCTTGAGTGGCCGGTGATCGGCTAGCCGGCTGTGGAGTGCTGGGCGGGGTGCGTGGTGGTGCGAAAGAGGGTGGAGCTGAAATTGTTCAGTTGCCCGTACAGCTACTTTTATTTCAAAACATTTCAAATATACGACACTGATAACCTTTTCTTGTCGTCGCTTCAGTCACAGCAACACTATGTGGCTGTTCGGTGATCGGTGCTGGTGCCTCAGTGACTAAACCATGCAAAGCTTACACAAAACAATTTAGTCTATAAAATTACTGAAGAAATTTCTATTCAACATTCAAACAGACTGTATTTCTTTGAATTAAAAGTATTTTCTAGAAAGTAAACCTAGAAATCCGCTACTCTTCCCCCTTGTATTTCCTCTTTCTTCTCTAGCAACAAGATACTGGATAGCTCAGTGGTTGGAGCATCTGATTGGAAAGCAAGATTGAGGCCGAAGTCAAGGGTTCGATTCCCTTTCCAGAAATTTTTTTTGCTATTCCTTACTTTACGTACTGTAAAGTAAGGAATGGCTCTGCTGCTACTGCTCTCAATGACTTCTTGAAGCCCTCCTTAGATCAATAAGTAGAGCTAGACATAATTTATTTCCTTTCAAAGATTCTAGAATTACGATAGCTTTTTTCTTTAGCAGACTCTTTAGAAAAAGTTCCTAATTAAAAGAAATACAGTCTCAATTCAGCTAACGCACTTTGTGCAACCGGGACTTGAGTTGAAAGCCTTGAATAAGGACCACGAGTGCTTTGTGAGGAAGCAGGTGGTGAGGCTAAAACGTGGACTTAAGCTAATTGATTCTCTAAATCGAATAGCACAATAATATTCAACTAAAGCTCCTTTTTCACCTCTTCTCGTAGCGGTCACCACAGCAGCCGGTCTAGTGCTTGGTGTGAGTGCTTCGGTGGCTGAAAGACAACCCGGTTCACATCACAAATTTGTTCATGCAAACACAAAACTTTCCACATTTCACACAACAAACGAAATTAGTGCTTACCCGTAATTATTCCTTTAGAAAACTCTTTCCCCGCTTTATTTTGTACCCAAGTTATCGTATGCTCTAGCTAAAACAGACCCTAGCTACAGTCATACCCTAGAAAAGTATTCCCAGCTACAGTATACCCTAGCTAAAAGATTTACTAGCTACATCGTACCCTAACTAAAGCCTACTCTAGCTACATCGTACCCTAGCTAAAGCCTACTCTAGCTACATTGTACCCTAGCTAAAGCCTACTCTAGCTACATTGTACCCTAACTAAAGCCTACTCTAGCTAAATACCTAAAATGTGGATGTAATTAGGCAAATTTTAGATTCTACAGTATTTTCAAGAGTTTGAAATCTATGGTTCTTAGCTTTTTACCTATGAAAACTGTTCAACTGGAATAATTACGGTACTTTAATTTCAGTTTTTTAAACCATCTTCTACCTCTTGTGGATTCAGTAGCGACTCGCGAATAAGCACTTGCGGTACTTGGTGCTGGTGATTGTGTAGCTGAAAACAGACACTTCAATCAAAGCTGCTCATGCACTCAAATTCTTAACTAGGCTACACATTTGGTACCTCTTCTAGTCGACACTTCTGTACTTTGGGTGCTTTGTGCAACGGGTGTTTGTGGCGCTGAAAGCAGCTCGTTTTCACACAGCAAATTTTAAAGTGCAAACACTTTTCTGATCACCCTTTTTACCTCTCCTAGTGGTTGCTTCTGGAGCCGAACTTCCGTATGGTTCTTCGGTGACTGGTGCAGGTGATTGGGTAACTAAACACAAGCCTTTACACAGCACTCGAAGTCAAGTAAAAGGATTTCTTGTAAAGTTCAACTCCTACAGTAAAACAAAGACTGTTAACTTCCCTAGGAGCTATCAGCCTATCAGCTATCAGCCTTCAACATACTGTAGCTAGCCAGGAAACTAAGCTTTACAATATTTCAAAGCACAAGACCTTTACTATGCTGATTCGATGTATCGATTCTTGGATAAGGTTTCTGAGTGCTTGATGCGGGTGCGGGTGTGGTTGTGAACACACGAATGATGCTTGGCAGAAGCCCTAAAGTACCCTAAGCAATCAATTTCTATAAAAAGTATCAAAAGATTTGTTAATCCATTCTAAAAGCACATTCAAAATGGTCAAACCGTTGGTTGATGCCTCGGGCAAAGCTTTTGAGATTGGGATTTTGGCGGAGAGGATTGCTAAAAAAAAGCAATCTCTAGGATAACTTTAGCAATGTTAAGCTTTAACAATGTTAAGCTTTGACAATGTTAAGCTTTAGCAATGTTAAGCTTTGACAATGTTAAGCTTTAGCAATGTTAAGCTTTAACAATGTTAAGCTTTAGCAATGTTAAGCTTTAACAATGTTAGCTTTAGCAATGTTAAGCTTTAACAATGTTAAGCTTTAGCAATGTTAAGCTTTAACAATGTTAAGCTTTAGCAATGTTAAGCTAAACAAAGCTTAGTGTTTAAATTCAAATCTAAAGCCCTATTCTTCACCTTTAGCACTAGTTATTGCCTTATTGTCTTGAGTTGATTGCGAACTTTGAGTCGGTGCATGGGGTGAAGCTACAAAGCTTCATTTACTTCAAATCTTGAGTATTCTTGAGTTTACTGTACCTTTAGATGTCCAGGGTTTAAATAGGATTTTAGTCTGAGTGACTGGCAATTGTGAAGCCGATGGTGCATTTGTGCTTAGAGTTGAAGCTGGAAAAACAAAGCTGCTATTGTGATGGAAAGAGTAAAATGAAGAAATCCAAAGAAATCTATCGTATTCCCATTTTCCAGTAAATTCTTAAGTATCATTTCTTTAAAAAACAGCTAAATGGTATGCCTCGTTTATCAAGATATGTCAGTAGAGATAGATTGTCATAGATTTTCATAGATTGTCATAGATTGTCATAGATTGTCAAGGCAAGACAAGATATCAAGATTGCCAAGTAGAAGAATAAATTTTGAGCTAAAAACTTAAAACTTTCAACCTTTCTTCACCAAATCTACATCACAAAGCAGGTGTTGTTGTTGTTAGTTTCACTTTCAAATAGCTATTAGAATTGGTAAGCTTCTTTTCTTTTACCTTGACTACTCCAAGGCCTAAACACAGGTAGAGCATGCGTTGCTTGAGAGCCACGATTGAGTGATGACTGCAGTGCATGAGTTGTGCTTTCAATTTCAACTGCAAACATTCACAAACAGTTACAGAGCACTCAATTTTCTCCTCCAAGTACACAGCTTTGTGCGATTTTGGTGAAAATGCTTTACCTTGTGTGCTCAAAGGCTTGGGTTTTGTGGGTCGGGTGGCTGGTGGGCCGACGGTGTGTCGGGTGGTGCTTGGTGCTGAAAGTCTTTCTCTCCGAGACAATTTTTGGCAAAAATTTTCGGCTTAACAAGTACAAACTGTTATCGTTGTGAATGACAGCTTTGTGGAACATGCAAAAAGCATCATTGAAAAGTTACCCTGTGTTGTCGTGGCTTCAATCTCGTCCTTTCCGTACGAGTCATCGGTGGATGGATGTTGAGCTAAAACTTGTTTAAAAGTAATTCGATTTACAAAGCACCTATAAAAGAATGACTTTGTCTTAAAGATCCTTGAACTACAGTACTCATTTCAAGTAAAGTATACCAAAAAATAGTGAAACTATGATATTAGACAGGCTAAAGAATTTAAAGACAGATCAAGAGGTCAAATTGGCATACTGTAACGACTTATAACTATACTAAGACTTTACAGTATTCAATTAATACAACTAAGTACAGTTTTTAACTACTTAAACTTTTAAACTAAAGTGTAAACTGAAAGATTATCACCTCTCGTAGTAGCTTCCTCCGGTAGTGGGACAGTTTGTTGCTCGGTGGGTGCTCCAGTGGCCAAAGTGGGATAGGGTTCTTCGGCATAGGTGAGACGCGGTGCATCAGTTGACTTGCCTCCACTCTGTCCTACATTTCCTCCATTTCCTCCACTCTGTCCTCCATTTCCTCCATTTCCTCCACTCTGTCCTTTATTTCCTCCATTTCCTCCACCCTGTCCTCCATTTCCTTCATTTCCTCCACTCTGTCCTCCGTTTCCTCCATTTCCTCCATTTCCTCCATTTCCTCCATTTCCTCCATTTCCTCCACTCTGTCCTTCATTTCCTCCATTTCCTCCATTTCCAGAAGGCGCAGCTCCTGGGTTTTCCTCACTTCCATATCCAGGTCCATGCTTATCATCTGATCCCGACCCGGCTGTGCCTCCAGCCTCTTGTGACTCTCCATTTCCACCATCTCCCGTATTCTCTCCATTTGGTTGCTCACCTCCATCTCTTCCAAACGAATTGTCAACTGGGGGATTCACTGGGATCGAGTTCTCCTCATAGCTGCCTGGTTTGCCGACTTCTTGAGCAGGAATTGCTTTGAATGGACCAACATGGGCGATTGGTGGAGAAACAGGCGGTGTAGGAGTCTTTCCAGCTCCGAAAACGGGTCCCGTGCCTGAATGATAGCTATCAGCTTTGCCAGTGACGACTGATTTCCGTCCATCTTCCTCTGGAACATTGGTTTCCGAGTCGTAGTCGTTATTGGACGGTCCAGCCTCGCCGGGTCCCTCATTTCCTTTACCTTCCGATCCGCTTGGCTTTTTCTCGCCACTTCCATGGTTCTCCGATGATCCCGATCCATAGTCGGTCAAAATTCCGGCCAAACTGTCATCAATATTTTTGGGTTTACTGGCTTGCTGCCCGGGTGGAGTCCGGCCCATATTGTTTGGCATCACTTGAGCAGTGGGTGGGCTCAATGGAGCTTCAGGGCCAGTAGAGCCACTTGTTCCAGAAGTCGGCCCGGATAATGAACCAGATGATGGTCCAGTAGAGGATCCAGTGCTTGATGGTCCACCTTCATTGTTTGTAGTCGATGAACCCGAAGAACTAGTGTCAGTACCAGATCCAGAAGGTCCATTTGAGCCAGCATCCGTTCCACTAGGGCCATCGGGTACCTCATCATAGTCACCAAGTTCGTTCTCATTTCCATGGTTTTCGTTCTCAACCGGTCCACCCGCAGATGCGACAATATTCGTGGATGGAGGAGTGGGTTTGTATTGAAGAGCACTTGGTAATTCTGTGGCTGAAGGAGCAGGGTTTGATCCAGAGTTAGCACCACCGTCATCAGTAATATCCGGGATTTCAGGGTTACCCGTGTTCTGCTCATCTTCATAGTCGTCACCGACAGATTTGTGGGCACTTGGGCTGGTGTCCTGAAAATTTGTAAGTTTTTCATTTCTCCTAGTATTTTACCTCTCCACTTTTTCCTCTGGGTAGTTGATAAGGAACTGCGATACTGCCCGATCGGCCGTTGTCCTTGTTTGCCGATTGGGGAACGACAAAAGGCCGTTTTGTGGTTGTCTGAAAGAAAAATTTATGTAAATTAGTCCCCCCGTAAGCTTAGAAATTTAATTTTCCTTACAGCAGCTAGCTGTTCCTCTTCATCTCCGTAATCTTCATTTCCACCCTCTTGAGCTCCACCCTGAAAGCCATCGGATGAATCAGGGACGATAGCCTGGCTAGGAGTATGCGGCAGATCTAAAAACCATGATTTTCACCCAATATACCCAAAATTCAGCAATTAAACGAACTTGATGATGGTCGAGAAGATCCTCCGCTATTTGAGGACGACGACGGACGACCACCCGACGATCCAGAGTTCGTTTGTCCAGACGCAGACGAGCCGACGGATTCTTTAGTTGGCACTGCCGTCTCCGTGTCAGCGCTATCGTCATAATCATCTCCCTGAAGGAAACTTGTTATTATCAAAGTTTTCAGTCTAAAAAGAATGACTTATGGCTTCAGCTTGAAGCAGCTTCAGCTTGTTTTTGTCAACTTCAACTTCAACAACTAAAATCAATGAACAGTTGTCAGATCGAACCTTTTGAGCTGACGGGCCAGATGGTCCCGATGACCCAGATGATCCCGATGACCCAGATGGTCCCGATGACCCTGATGGTCCCGATGATCCTGATGGTCCCGATGACCCAGATGGTCCCGATGACCCTGATGAGCCTGGTCGTTCATTGTTGTAGTCGCTTCCACCAGCATTTGGTCTACCGTTTCTATCAGCAATATCGTCATACTCGTCTCCACCATCCGGCACATGAACTGGTGGCGGCTGAAACGGTTAGCTTGATGAAATTTATTCAAACCCCCCCATTTCCCCCACCTTGTTTCCAGCAGGCTTTTTCGGGATTGGTCGAATGATTGGACGACTTGGCCTCACGCGAGGCGCGGAGAGATCTAAAAACTTTAGCTAAACAAATATTTTATAAATATTACCATCATTATCCTGTTGTCTGTCATCATCTCCATACCCGTCACCCTAAAAGAAAAGATTTACACGTAATTCTTTCAAATTTCCCCACTGTGTTTCCGTTTTTTCCGTATCCGGCGCCGCCTGCGTCACCTGCGCCACCTGCGCCACTTGCGCCACCTGCGCCTCCAACTCCACCTTGACCTCCAACTTCTGATTGAGCACCGAAACCTGAAAACTAATAGATTCATGGGCAATACTTTTAGCATGGATATGCTATTTAAAATGATGATTTCTAGCCTTGAAAACCGACCGTTGACCGGTTTTAGTATCCTATCTCTTTAAATTTGGTTCCCTATCTGTCTAAATTTGGCCCTATCTCTCTAAATTTGGTTCTCTATCTCTTTAAATTTGGTTCCCTATCTGTCTAAATTTTACTTTTATACTTTTATACAATACGTTTAGCATGGATATGCTAATTAAAATGATGACTTCTAGCCTTGAAAACCGGTCAACGGTCGGTTTTCAAGACTGGATGCGTTGAAGCTTTCAATGTGCTCCTTCAAAGTAAATCAAAGAAAAAAGTATCTCAATTTTCTAATCAAAAAAGAGAAAGTTGTTCGTTTTCATAATGAGAATCTCATTTTTTGATGGATTTGATTAAAAAGGGCGGTTAAAGCTGGCTAAAGTTAATCAAATATCAAATTTGAGCGAGATGTTGGCTGGTTGGGGTTGGATAGTTTTTCCCTTTTATGTGTTGTTGTTTTCTAGTTCTTAACTTCTATTTAATGTTAAATCAATTTTATTTTTCTCTCCACAAACATCTAAAATCAAAAAAAAAACATATCAGTTAAATAAAATAAAACAAAAACTCTTTTAAAACTTAAAAATCGATTGTTGCTTGGGCTTAATCTATTTTTGCAATAAGGGGAAATCGAGAAACCGAGTTTTTATAAAAAAAATGCCCGTCTAATCAATAAAACTAATTAGATTTTTGGAAAGTAGATAAAATTTTGAATAGAATAGTCAAATTTTCAGTCCGATTGATTCGACCGTTTTTTTCTAAAACAGCGGAACAGACAGACAGACAGATATACAGATAGACAGACAGACAGACAGATACAAATACTCTCTCACTTATAATAGACAGACAGATAGACAGACAGACAGATATACAGATAGACAGACAGACAGATAGACAGACAGACAGACAGACAGACAGACAGATACAAATACTCTCTCACTTATAATAAATAGGATTATACATAATTATTTGTTAGCTAAATGATCAAAATCCCAAACCGTTTCCGTATCCCTGTCCAATACCACCTCCTGTAGCTCCATTTCCTTGATTGTTTGCAGTCAAAGCCGATGCACCGACCGGTGTCTGTCCCTGTGAACCGCTGCTCGCGTAAACTTGAGTCTAGAAAAGAAACTTTTCAACTAAATCTTTAGCTTTCTCAAAGTCCTATCATCGATTTTCACTGACTTTAACTCTTAGCTAGTTTTAAAATGTTTTACCGTTAAAGGCCAATAGTCTTGCTTTATCAGTTTCTTTCAAAAGATTTTTTTATAGTAAGCTAACCGAGGCGATACCGGCTTAGCCAACTAATAAGCATTTCTAACTAATAGGCAAGGCGAATAAAGCTCAAAAACTCACCAATTGAGGTGGTCCAAAAGGTGGGGGTTGAAGGGCTTGCTGCTGATAGCCACCAGCTCCGCCGACTCCACCAACTCCACCAACTCCACCGAAACCTCCTAAACCGCCGAAAGGTGATGGATAAAGGGGAGATGAAGGAGCGAGTGGGGCGCCACCACCACAACCACCACCGAAGCTAGGTACCGATGCTGGAAGACCAAGACCTAAAGAAAATAGATGTTTTATCGGCATTGTTTCAGTACTCACCTCCACAAGGATTTCCGCATGGACTGCTGCATGGAGATGGACAGGGTGGAGGGCAAGGTGGTGGACAACAAGGATTGCCTAGAGAAGAGTTATCGTTATCTAATTTTTCAAGGGCTTTCTGCTTTCTTGTGCTGCTGCTGCTTTTAAGAAATCTATCTCTCTGGTAATTTTGTAAAAGATTTGCCAATCATTTACAAAGAATTCACCAAATAAGTTCGGCAATGAGAATCGCGGTAGTGAGAGTGGAGGCAATTGAGGAAGACATGGCATTGTGAATGGAGGAAGACATTGTGCTTTCGTTGACGGGATCAACAGACAAACTGTGGCCACCAACGCTGCCACCACCAACCGCATGGTCTGCAAAAATTCAGTTGTGCTAAAATAGAATGAAAATCAAGTAGCATCAAAAAAAAGTGATCCAAAAAGTGATCCAAGAATGGTTTAAATGATTTCAGAAGCTGGATTTTTTTGCAATTAATATGCAAATCGCATGCATCTCATGCAACGATATATATAGATACTTTATTCATGACCTGAGATAAAGTGCGCTAGATTTAAGATTAAAACACATCAATTCATACACATAACACGAAAAGGGCCGATAAAAAGAAACACGATATAATATATGTAAAATGTGGGTAGCACAGATAACGTCAAGGATACACTAGAGCTTCAAGATCAAGATCATCTACAGATAATTTAAAGGTTTCAAGACTATTGGACTCTCTCAAAACTCTGGGGAGTCGATTCCAAATTGATCCAAGCATCAAAAAGTGATCCAAGACAGGCTTAAATGATTTCAGAAGCTGGATTTTTTGCAATTAATATGCAAATCTCATGCATCTCATGCATCGATATGCTAAAAAATGTTTCAAAACAATGAAGAATGAGAAAAATAGAAAAGAAAGAGATGGTAGAGAAAGGCAAACATGATCAGTCTCTCTTTCTTTTCATCTCTATCCGCGTCGAGAGACTTTCCACAAAGAGATTCCACAAAGAAGAGAGCCTGTTTAGCTCTTCACACCATAAACTTAATAGTTCATTGTTAAAGCTATTTTAGTTGATAGTTGAAGCTGTTAAACTTTAGCATATATACCATAAATACTCTAATAGAAGCCCTTATAGTTGGATAGTTTGTTTACTTTCAAACAAACCCTCATATCTTGACACCAGTACGCTTGTTTCTGCTTGTTTAGATTACAAATAAAAGTTGAAAGAATTGGTGATTTTTTGAGATATAACACATATTTCTAGCATTAACCAGCGTTTAGAAAACAATGATTGAAAAATGATGAAAAAGCAGCTTTTGTTGACACTACGCGATGCTCCTATAGTGGCTTCTATTAGAGTTTTTATCGTAATTATTCAACTATAACTTTTATGAGTAGAATCTAGCTTTATAAAGCTTAGAAAGCGCATTTACTTACAGTTTAAAAGGCCAGTCAATGAGTTTTCGATCGAGATTTAACTCCTTAATGAATCATTACCGTAATTATTCAGCTATAACTTTTATGAGTAGAATCTAGCTTTATAAAGCTGGTTGGGGAAAGGCTGCCCTATCAAATGGTCGGACATTTACCATCTTTATGCTTAGTTGATTTCAAAAATCCCGTGAAAACTCGTTTGATTGCATAAGATTCACTTCTCTAACACTTCTCTCAATAATCTTTGCCTCAAACTACTCCAGTCATATCTTTTCTTTTGTTCTTCTCACTTACTGGTCCCCTTCTTGTGAAACTCTGCCTCCAAATCCTCTTCACTCCCCCACAAACATTTCTTGTCTTTGATCTCATTCACAAACGACAAAAAAAACTGAAAGCCTCGGATTTTCTTCTCTCTTTTCTTGTGCTGTTTTATATTCAAATCGTTTGGATGTTTGTGCGCACAGTGGTTGGGGGAAAGGCTGCCCTATCAAATGGTCGGACACGGTGAACAAATGGCTTTCTTCCTCCTAAACTATTCATCCATTTTTTTTAGTAGTCTTTGATTTTTTTCTATGTTTCACAAACGAGTTAGTGATAGTAACAAGAAAATGAAATAGGTAAATAGATGATTGAAATGGAAAGAATGGAAAGACAAAAAACAAAAGGCACATAAAGTATAGAAGTGTTGATCGTAGATAAATTTACATTTAAAAAGTTATTTAATAATGTAAAGCATGGTGTTCTTCTGAACTTACCTTTCTGGCTTTCAGGTTCTGTGGATCAGTAAAGTCAAACCAAGTTCTCCAGGTTCAGGCCCAGCTCTGTTAAGAACATCATCCTTGATGTTAAAGTTAAGAGATGAGACAGATAGTATTGACCATTGACATTGACTTGACCGTTAAGTCTGTTATATCTGTTAGATTTGTCTAGATCCTAGACCAGCTCTAGCTCTTCAAACCAAAAGTCAAATGTTAATTAAGGTCTAATTGTTTATAAGGCTTTCAGTCTTCTTTCTGGTTTGTCGATCAGTAAAATAAAGTCAAACCAAGTTCTCCAGGTTCAGGCCCAGCTCTGTTAAGAACATCATCCTTGATGTTAAAGTTATGAGATGAGACAGATAGTATTGAGCATTGACATTGACTTGACCGCTAAGTCTGTTATATCTCTTAGATTTGTCTAGACCAGCTCTTCAAACCTTTAGTTCTAGTTCTTCAAACCAAAAGTCAAATGTTAATTAAGGTCTGATTGTTTATAAGGTTTTCAGTGTTCTTTCTGGCTTGTCGATCAGTAAAATAAAGTCAAACCAAATTCTCCAGGTCTTGGTTCTCCAGGTCAAACCAAGTTCTCCAGAACATCATCCTTGATGTTAAGTTAAGAGATAAGACAAATAATATTGAAAGCCATTCACCGCTGATACAAAAAAAGACAACTTTTCACAAGTACAAGCAAAAGAAAAGCAGTAAAGATTATAAGTAAAGATCGTAAAACAGTAAAGATCATAATTTGTTCTATAGAAGTAAAAATAGAATGAAAAGAACTCAAATCAGACTACTGTCAACCGCAGCCAGCTCATCTCTGTTCTCAGTTGTTGAAAATCGGATCAAAAAGCCTCAGAAGTGCTTGTCAAACACCACATTGCCAACAAAATCATAAAAAAAACCTTTCTAAAAGCCATAGCTGTTTAGAAAACCGAGAAATTATCAGCAAAAGTTTTCGAGACATTGAAGAAAATTACTCAAAGTCATCGAAAAGGAAAGACTCGCATCGCTTTTGAGATCAAAATCGAAATGAAATGTTGAAGAGAATCTGTAGGTTGGCATTAAAAGGAGAGGGTAAAAGAAGGGTTACGGGCAAGTTCTTTCTTTTCTTTCTTTCCTTCTTCCTTTCTAAACCAATTCCTTTTTGCTCTTTCCTCAAAACTACCTCAAGACATAAAAAAGCGCTATGAGATAGGGCAATAAATGGGTTTTGGTTAAGAGAATCGGAAACAAGACATTCGATGACAATATCTCGAGACAGACCAAGCTAATTTGGAAAGTTTCTTTGAGGACTGATTCAATAGTTGCTTGGTATGATTGATCTACTCTAAATTATTAAAAGAATACGGTTTTGAATGAAGGTATGAATTTAGGAAGAAAATATCAGCTTATTGTTTAAGGTTACAGTTGGAATTGTGCTTTTAGTTTCAAATATAGCCTTCAGAGAATCAAAGAGAATCGGAAACAAGACATTCGACGACAATATCTCGAGACAGATCTAGCTAATTTGGAAAGTTTCTTTGAGGATTGATTCAATAGTTGCTTGGTATGCTTGATCTACTCTAGATTATTAAAAGAATACGGTTTTGAATGAAGGTATGAATTTAGGAAGAAAATATCAGCTTATTGTTTAAGGTTACAGTTGGAATTGTGCTTTTAGTTTCAACTTATTGCCTTTGTGGGTTGAAATAGTTCAAAATAAACTATTTATTTCGATCATTTCAACCCATGAAGGCTATAAGTTGAAACTAAAAGCACAATTCCAACTGTAACCTTAAACACTTTACCCTCCACCAGTTTTGTTTTTATTTCTAGATCTCATTTAACATATCATATGTCAAAGCAAAGACTTTTCCTTTTTTCCTTTTCAGATCTATCACTGGAAATTCATGACAATACGATGATGGACTGATAAAATTTGGGGAAAGAAAAAGCGAAGATAAGGCTGGTGACAGCCTACGGCAAACCTGGCTAACAATCAGACATAAAAAGATCAATGTTGAAAGAGAAAATTTGAAGCTTTATGAATGTTTTAAGAAGAAGAAGAAGTTTAAAGCCTTGAATTTATGATGACTTACAAAATACGAGTAGTTTAGGATGATTTTTGATATGATAACAGTTTATTATACGGTAATTTTCTTTAACATTCTATTAGATAGGGCAATAAATGGGTTTTGGTTAAGAGAATCGGAAACAAGACATTCGATGACAATATTTCGAGACAGATCAAACTAATTTGGAAAGTTTCTGACGATGATGAGTTGACTTGAAGCTTTATGAATGCATTGGGAGTTTAAAGCCTTGAAGTTAAGATGGCTTACAAAATACGAGTAGTTTAGGATGTTTTTTGATATGATAACAGTCTATTATACGGTAATTTTCTTTAACATTCTATTAGATATGGCAATAAATGGGTTAAGAGTTAAGAGTTAGGAGAATTGGTTAAGAGAATCGGAAACAAGGCATTCGTGACATTCTCGAGACAGTCACTAATTTGGAAGTTTCTGCGTGTGGTTGACTTGAGCTTTTGAATGCTTGGGGTTTAAGCCTTGAAGTTAAGTGGCTTCAAATACGAGTAGTTTGGTGTTTGATATGATAACAGTCTATTATACGGTAATTTTTTTTTAACATTCTATTACAGATGACTGTAAATCAAAAATTAATTATATAGAGAGCTTTTGAATGTTTCGAAAGATTAACTTTAAGAAATTGACTAAAAAATGTCATAAAATTGACTTTAAGAGTGAAATGGTGAAAGTAATCATTTACGATCCTCGAGAAACACCAAAAATTCTAAACCGTATCAAAGTGCAATGAGGCTTGAAGAGAGAAAGCGTTTAAGGTGACAAATAAAAGTGGAACTGGGTTTTTTTGTTTTCAACAATGGGCATTAAGTTGTCAAAGTTGAAAGTAAAACGAATCAAGTCTTTCTTTTGTTAAGTTATTAAGATGTAAGTCAATTTGAAAGATTCTAATCAAATCATCGTATAACAAGAACAAGTTCTAAAAGAGTTTTAAAAGTTTTTAATAAAAATGACTTGATAAACTGTTTGGACGCTAGCCAGGGTAGCAAATTACGCAAGAAAGAATTACAAGAGCTGAATAAGCTCAAAAATATGTGTAAGAGTTGTATTTGTGATCTTCGACTCATGGATTCAGGTTGAAGAATCAT